GTTTGCTGTCTGTGTATTTGTCTTGTTGCTAATGTGTGGGCTTTTGCGCTAAGTCCAAATAAAAGATAGGCTATTTATTTATGTTGAGATTGTTTGTCAAACCTTAGTCTGCGGCTGTGCTGCTTGTTGGAGTCTGACAGTCTGCTGGTGTCCTGCGGTTTCATCATCAAGTCGCCGCTGTCACCCGCCAAGGATGGCCACACGGCCGTTTGCGTCTTTGTCGACATTTGTTGACAAAATTCGTCATGTTCGTCGTGCCGACGCACGACCAAATCACTATGATCCTTCAGATCGCATAAATCTTGCGTGATGAAATATCTCACCTGCGAACATGGCTCTGTATCGACTGACTTCCTACCGTCAGATCGTGACCCGCGGTTCACTGTGTAAGCAATGTGCAACACAGCCCAGCAACTGCACTTCAAAAAACAGCAGCTCTCCACGTCGTTCCACCCTCACCACTTTAGGAAAAAAGTATTAACAGTAAAAGAGAAGGAGCAAGATTTGGAGGTAACATAGACGAAGTTGGTAGCAATAGGTTAGAGTTGTTGGGCTACTATAGTTGCTACCATGGTTGCTACCTGGGTAAGTGGAAGTGTTTTTTATAAAAGGGTAGCTGGTTCTTATAAAAACGGATGGACTAACTGAGCGAACAGTGAATCACGTCCTGCAAGAGATTCTACGCAATTATGTAGGGGGCCGGAACTCACCGACTTGCTGGGGGCCGAACACTGGGGCCGAACACCTACACACACACACACAGCGGATGGCGGAATTCTCGCCATCAAATCACAACAGCAAATGTGAAGCCACGGGCTACATGCCCTTCTACCTTGTGTATGGCTGCCGTCCACGAATGCCGGACGACTACGGCCTTCCACTCAAAATGAAACAACACCCTTGCCCAGTCGACAAACTCGCTGACACCCTCCACGCTGTCTCGAAAAGGCCCCAAAAGCCGCCCTACATGCCGCTCAACAACGGCAGGCTTAGCATGCCAACTAGTATCACCGACCAGCACACTTCCAAGTCGTGCAGGGGTTGTGAACCGAGGTATGAACTTGCCACACGTCCTTTGGCATTAGGTGCGT